TTCTTCCTAATGTTTAGCTGAAAACTCAAAATTTTGTCTGTCAAAATTCTGTCATCAGCATTTCTTACTCTTTTTTTTAATTCATGAAGGGCTTGATGGTTTTTGCGTAAGTATGTATTTCAAATTGGCAAAGTGGAGCTTGTTTTTCCTCTATGTTAGGGTGCTTGAACTGCTGATCTTTTAAGAGGTTACTGAGAATGATAGAGCTACCATCTGACTTGCCTTCTTAAATCGAACATTTGCACATTAATAGGAGAATAATGAGCCTGTGAAATGTAGTGTCTGTGTGCTTAAACTGTCCACTCATGTTCCCTGAGGAGGAAGGCAAGAGTGGTACAGAATCACACCTGAGAGCCTCTGTGCCAGAACAAGAATATTAGAGCAAACACATGCATCAGAACTTGTGCATTCATGCTTGGTTCCGGGTTAAGCGTTTCGCCGCTCGGACGCGTCGCGTCTCATCTCGCTCGGATGCAGACGTGCCGAGACCCGGCTGACGGGAGGGGTTTGAGTTCATCCCAGACCCCTCCGGGGTCTCTGTAGGAGACCCCCAGCCTGGGGAGCTGAGGAGAGCCTCTTCCAAGGGGACGCCCAAGGAATTGAGGCTCACCGTCTTCCCCGATAGGTACCGTCGCCGCAGAGCCAGTATGGCGCCTAGAGACGACTGCCGGAGCAAGCGATCATGACCAAACTCGTAAAAAAGACTTCCCAAAGATCTCCAAGGCTACAAACTGTGAGTTAAGCAAAGCTCAAGTGAAAAATAAGCAAATGGAGCCTTGGTAGTAATTGGAAGCGCCTAAGTTTGAAGGGCCACAGTTTCAAGGCTCCCCCCCATAGGAGAAAACTGTAAAAAACAGTTTTAAAGCGAAAATAAAGAGACTTTGAGCTAAACCAAGCGCATAAGAAGTTAAGCGAACTCAAAAGCTGCTAAAATATATGAAGTGGAATTAAAACGTATAACTTTTGCTTTGTTTTGGAAAACTTACTTCTTGTTGATATTGTGGCTGGGAGAGGACGGAGAGTGCCGGACAAAAAACTGGTGACCGGAAATAACATACCAACAACTCCCTCCCAGAACCAGGAAGCATCTACAGACTTTTCTTTGTTGTTAGCAAATGCACTGCACCCTCTAATGGAACAGATGACTACTCTCAACACCAAACTGGACAGTGTGCAAAAACGGTTAAAGCAAATGGACAAGAGAACCACAGCAACTGAGAAACCATTGAAAAAGATGGAAAAACAGACTGAGAGTATTAATAAAAGAGTGGATGAAGCAGAGAAGGTGAGATCCTCGGATAAAACACAACTAATACAGCTCCATCTGGAAAGATCCATGTATGTTTTATGTTTCCATGGAATACCTGAGGATAAGAATGCGGACTTAAAGGAGCTCTTGGCAGCTGGCTTGGCCCCACTACTGGATTACAAACAAGAAGACTTAATTAAGGAAATTGATGTGGCGCAGAGGACTTATCCGGACTTTATAAAGAAAAATAAACTTCCAGGGGA